CCCCAAAACCCCAAAACCCCAAAACCCCAAAACCCCATTTTCTATTTTATTTATAGAATAATAGAATCAAGCAAATGGCAACCTCAGCAGGTGCGACAAAGGATGGATACTCTAAGTCATCAACGTCAAAGAGATCGGGTAAAGAGTAAATATATCTCATCAGTTTGATAATAAATATTTTAACTTGGTATAGTATGACACCCTAATAAGTCTCATACTTTTTATTTTTGAGACACTGTCAACAATCCTCCATTTTTCTAGCATAAAGGAAATAGATTGTTAGGAACTTTAATTTCTAAGCCACAATATAGAGACACTTCATTGCCTTCGGAAATGGAAAATTTATTCATGCTAGAGAAGAATAAGAAGGCAATAGAAGCTTTTCGAGGGAAGATGAATAAGTATCTTCAGATGCTCTGCACAGATCTTGAAATAGCAAATACTGATCTGGTAAAGATCTTTCTAACTTGTACTGACAGCAAATCCCTTCAAGAGAGTTTGCATCGTATCAAGAAGAAGAATAAGGGACTTGGAATCACCGATAACCTCCAAAGTATCTATGAAAAGCTAAACCGCTTCAATACAGAAGATGTATATATTGAGTACCAAGAATATTTCGAAGATGAGGAAGTTGAGGAATTCCAATTTTCGTCTCAAGATCTCTACAGAGTCAGAGGAATTCTTGACTATGAAAAACAGCTTAGTAACCTAGTCGATCATATGGAGCTGAGATGTAAACTTAACGATGCGACTTCCTTAGGGATCCAGTCTATCACTACTGAACTTGAGATGTTCAGAATAAATTCTGAGACCCCCCAGTTGGACAAGCTTTTCTTACTCGGAGGTTTCATAGACTTTGGTGATGTAGAAGATATCGATAACATCGGACTCTCCAAAGCCATGGATGAGAATGCCCAAAAAGATCCATTTGCAAATGAATTTGTATCTATTGAGAACTTAAAGAAGAACAAAAAGTACACTTTGAGAGAAAATTCAGGTAAGAGTTTAAATTTTGCTTGAAATTTTAAGTTTCATAGATTACTTCCAGACTTTAAGCTGGACAAGTCTGTACAAATAACCTCAAGACTCAACTAAACCGCTTTCAGCCCTTAAAGAAGAGTCTTATTAATAGAAGGGTCTTAATGCAGGATTATAAAGATAACAGTAGCTTAATAGAGGAATATAAACAATTTGAACTTTCTTATAACCATTTGGAAATTATAAAAAAGATCAAGGAAATAGAGGACGAAAATAAGGAAATTTCTAGCAAAATTACTGGAATTAACCACAAAATAAGCGATTATCACGCTGGTAAGCTAAACCCTAACTCTTCTAGATGTGTCTATCTCTGCAGCAGTGGAAGAAGATATCAGAGGCTTTATTAAGAAATGCAAAATCAACCTCGAAATGGAGCCAGGAGGTATGAGCGTTGAAAAAGAAAAGGATGCATTTTAACTCAACGGTCAACTTTGAAGCATTATTAAGGGGTTTTGGGGTTTTGGGGTTTTGGGGTTTTGGGG